TTCAGGCCTAATTTGGCCAAAGCAATCGCCACAATGGCAATGGCACAGGCCACCGCGTCGTCTTGCACCGGAAAGCCAGATGGCTGACAAATCATCACACCTAAGTCCACCACGCGTGATAAAAGTTCAGCAAGTCAGAGCTCGCATGCTGGTCAACAAATTATCAACGCACAAGAGGGCAATTATCGCTAATGTTCCTTATACGTTTGCAGCTATGAATACGTCCTAGAAATACTGCAAATTCCTGTGCATATGTTGTCCGCTCCTGTTATTACTCTCTACTCATGTCTTTGATGAAGAATACCCGACGGACGTCGAAACGGCAGACGAATAAAAGTGCTGTCCCAACCATCAAATCTTCTTCTCAATCCAATCACTAGCGTAATTTAACGGAATGGGCGACAGAACACAACCTTGACAAACGCCAGACTGAAACACGAACCGGTGGGCAAGTACTCGCTAGTAATGGAGCTGTAACAGCCCTTGGTCATGGCGACGACTTTTTGGTGATACACCATAGGATATCCCGATGGACGAGAAAACAGACGGCCGTCGGTTGTTGGTGGCTATGGCAGAATTTAATAATGCACCTCTGCGTGAATATCTAGTCTGAACATTCATGGCGAGCGCGGAATCCGGCTAGGTTGGGCCTAGTCCTAGAGCCGAACACAGACTGAAATCGCCTGGGAAGGAGAGTAGCCGAAATCTTCAGAACAATGTCAATGAGGCTTATGGAGCGGAAGTGCTCATATCTCTTCTTATCTCCGTTTTTGCGGATGCTTGAGCCCCAGTCATAAATATTTTTCAACCACCTCAAGGAACCAGAAAGCCAGTGTCGTGGATCCAGTAACTGCAGTGTTGCTTGGTGTACCCAATTATTTTCTCGGCTAACGCATAGACGGATGTTTTCAACGACAATTAATGGTTACTGCCTTTTCCGTCGGCTTGAGTCGTAAGACAGAACTGGATTTCTCCGCCAAGAGTCGCGAGTCCTCTAGCGCCGGACATTTTGGGCACGGGTGAGAGGTTAACTCTCCTGCATATACGAACAGGAACATAGTCCGACCTATGGCGTGGGCAATCATTTATGTGGCTGTTAAGTTAAATTCCTGACCCATTCATAGGTACGAGTAGCTAATTGTGGTAACCGGTCACTCCGTCGGACAGGCAGCTTATGTTCGTGTATGCGCAATGCGAGTATGGGTTCAGTCTGCCATGTGTAGTTGCAAAGGCGTTTTAGGCGCGATACACTTCACTCGACTGTTCCCTAGGTGTAATAACTAGCTGAATAGCTTCTCATGTAATGTAAATAATGCTTGGCTTTTCGTTTTGCAGCTCGAATAACTGTTAATAAAGCAGTGTTTCTCTATGCTGTGCTGAATATACGCACCCGAGGTCAGAAGTTATGTCAAAGGACAGTCGGATGAGTCGGTTATTCTTTATGTGGTTCTATAGAAATAAACAGTAAGGTTAACAGTGCATGATAGGTAAAAATAATGCGAGGTGGAGATTAAAAGGAAGGTGGACATACATTCAAGGTGCTTAGACGAGCAGTCAGGAATGACGCAGACGCGATGCTGCCAGTTTAAAAGGGAATAACTACATGGGTCAGGAGTCCACGGACCAGGGGAAGAATAAGAACACGATGCAAGGAACAAAGAGCGTGGGGAGTGGTGAATAAGCACACGGGAATAAAGCTCGCAGTGTGTCAGCGAATGGGAAGGCTGTTAACGAGGTCAAGGGATCAAAACATGCGACAAGACACGTGGGCAGAATGAAACATAGGTGGCTGGGCCATCAGCGGATGACTAAGCGGGCTTAAGGACACATGCTTCGGCCAAGTGGACCAAGGCCTACACACAGTTAACAGCAAATAAATCCGAATACGACATTGACGTGATGAATTTCATACTAGGATTTCATCGGTGCTTGATTTTCATGAGCCAGTTGCACATGGTAGTTTTGGACCGGTGTGCAATTCCGACATCAGTCCCACAGCAATGTGCTCGGCAGCTTCTGACAGGGGCTTAATCTATGGCAACGCATATTACACCATAGGTTGAGTACTTCGGGAGCAGAAATAGAGGCATCGGCTTATGAACGTCTTGGGATATCCGTTTGACAGTCATAGATCGCAGATATAACGGACCTCGAGTGCTTTTTCTTCCGCGTTACCGTAGTGACGCTGGGTCTATTTCAAGGGTGCTCTTACATGGCTTTTTGAGCCACCGGGCGGCGAAAACTGAGAAGCTGTGTAGTGTTCAGCGTCTTCCGGTAGATGGTTGCTTCTAAATCGCCTTTGGAACGGCGCCTAACGAGAACATCAGTGAGAGGTAGCTGTTGATGCTTTTCTTCTTTCTACATGAATTGCATATCTCGGAGGATTGATTGGAGATTATGGGAAGTCTGCGGCATATTCCTCTTGGCATCAAAACATTGGCGGCTGTTGGGTTAATGCAATTTTTTCCAGCTCTTGTAGGACAAATTCAGTGATTAAACCTGAGATTAAGGAGACCATGAAAGT